CTCAGGCAATTGTCCCCTCAATTTTGGACAATCATTTATTCTAAGCACTTTAAGTTTAGGAAAAGCTTCAAATTTAAACAAATACCACTCCTCCCAACGTGGAATTTTACAAAATGACAGATACTCCAAGGATAAAAAGGGTGTTTCTAAAGAATGACCATTATCATTCTTGTAAAATTCGGCACCAACAGTCTCAAGCCCATCAAAATTTTCAATCTTCAAGGTCTTCAGAGAGGATAGTTGTCCAAGTGAAGGAAGCATACAACAATTCCTACAAGAACTAAGACTTAATTCAGTCATACTGTGGTAGGAAGAATGTCCTACCCAATCTGGAAATCTCGTACCCCTGTACTTCCAGATGTATAGATATTCTAGGCCATTGTGGGGTTGTAACTTGTCATATACTTCTCTTTCAGTATGTGATGAGGCTGTATTCAAATCACTATCCCTAGAGCCAACCAAGAACAAACTTTGTATTAAAGTCTTATTCATTATTCTTGCCTCTGCTGCTTCATCACTATCAGTAACATTTTCCAAGTCACTAATCAGCAATGATCCGTGAAGATTTGAAAGGTCTCCTAATTCCTTTATGCCATTATCTTCATGTTTGCCAACAATGAAGTTACTTAAAAACTGCAAATGTTTTAGTTTGCTAATTCCTCCGGGCATCTCTTTCAAAGCAGTTCCTCCTATTTCAACATGTCGCAAGTTTACAAGATTTTGCATACCACTTGGCAACGTAGTTAGTTGTAAACAAAAATACAGCTTCAGTGTTTGTAGATTGTACAATTTGCTCAATGATTCTGGCAATGTTTTGATACCTGTCTCGGAGAGATCTAAGTAACGAAGATGGATCAATTCACCTATTGAATCAGGCAATACGTCGAGTTCTCGACATTTGTTGAATGACAAAACTCTTAGGTATAAGCTTCGATAATATGATCAAAATGAAATTTTCATAACCGAAGGAAGGAGGTGAGAAATCAACTTGCAAAAAAGTTCTCAAAGATTTTAGTTCATCAATACCATTGAAATTTTTTGAGATTGGATGACTCAACCTTCCATATGACAGATGACGAGTATGAATCTTAATCTTGTCAACTGTCCCAAGTTCCTCTGACCTAAAGTAGAAGTCTCCAGCAACAGATATTGCTAAGTCATGCATCAGATCATGCATCACGAAATACTTGTCATCGTCATTTTCAAATTGTTTGAAAAATAATCTGGAAGCTAATTCATCAAAATATTCAGCACCTACTTCTTCTAAAGTCTTTCCTTTCTTTGGCTGCTCTAAAAGATCTTCTGCCATCCACAATAAGATTAATTCACCTTTCCGAAACTTATAATCCTTGGGATACAGAGAACAATAAGCAAAACAACGTTTTAAAGGTGGAGGGAGATGGTAATAACTTATTCTCAATGCTGGAATGATCTTACTGTCATTAGCTGAAAACTCCCACATTTCATTAGTGAGTATAGCATTCCAATCTTTGACACCGTGTTTTGCTCGCAAAAGGCCTCCAAGTGTTTGTGCTGCTAAAGGTAATCCCTTGCACTTCTTAACAATCTCTCGACCAATGTTTTCTAGAATCAAATTCCCATTAGTTTTGGGAAAACACGCATGATCTGCAAACACTGACCAACACTGTTCATCGGACAAATGATTTACATGGTAAGGTGGGCAAGTACGGACAATGGCAGCAACCTTTTCACTCCGAGTTGTCATGAGAATTTTACTTCCCTTAATCCCATATTGAAAAGGTGTTTTAAGACTACTCCAACCATCATAATCATCACTCCAAACATCATCCAGAACAAAAAAAAATTTCTTTCCTGCTATTCTTTCCTTCAAATCAAGTTGAAGTAAATCTAGATCGACTTTATTACAAACACCAGAGGTAAGTGATTCTATTATAGTCTTTGTAGTCTTAACAATATCAAATTCTTCAGAAACACATGCCCATGCTTTCAAATCAAACTCCTTCATCACATTCTCATTGTTATACACCCATTGGGCTACAGTGGTTTTTCCAACACCACCCATGCCTACAATAGGGATCACAGATATTTGATCATCAGTATCATCTTTTAATATATGAATAATTGCATCTTGGTCAATCTCCCTGCCATATATATTCCCTTTGACGAGAGAAGTGGAGGGAGTCCTCCAAGAGAAGTTCTCCCTGGGAATGTGTTTAAGATCAAGGATATACTTGCGTTTTTCAATATCTTCTATTCTTCTAACAACCTCTTCCATCTTATTCACAATCTCCCTATTACGGGAATGAAGAAAGCGAGGGAGAAAGTTACTGACCTTCTTCTGAGTTGCAGCTTGGGTGAAAACACGATCTAACAAGTCATCAGCTACATAGACAGCATCCCTGAGATTATGGAGCCAGTTCTTGACACTTGGGTTATTGATTTGCTTCTGCTCAGCATCAATAAGCAGAACATCAGCAGCACACAGAGCATTATTCAACCTTTGCAGCAAGTCTTGGTCAAGCTTCTTTCCTTGGATCAACTTCACAAACTCAGCTGAAGACACCCTCTCCAAAACAACGTTAATGAAAGCAGAGAGAAAAGCTCCACCCACAAGTGCTTCCGCCATGATTGATCAAATTAGGAATTGAGTTTGGAATGGCAGACTCTGTACAAAACTCGCCGCCTTTTTAAACTGTACAGGAGACATTCATAGTTTGTTAGCACAAAGAAATTGACTTAACATGGTAACGTGGTAACATGGTTACTCTGTAAAAAGTAGGCATTCGCGTATAAAAGTTGTTAGATTTATTTGAGAAAAACCTTCGTGTATATATATGTATATATATAAAATTATTTGTGTAGTAATTAATTATAATGTAGTTTTACTTCTTGCTTAAATTACTTGATTGTTTTAGATTATCCATTTTACCTTAATTTATTTAAATTTTCATATAAATGTTATACACATAGATTCATAAATATTTATTTTTACTATTTGGTACAGAGGTAGACTGGGAATCAAAGAAAAAAGTGCATGTGAAAGAATATAAATTTTAATTCTTATATTTCATGATACGAGTCTAATTAAATTATGTATGCGCACACCAGAAACGATAAACCAACATAACAGAATAAACTCAAATTCAATCGCTTATTTCTTTTGTTTATATTTTGTTTTTTTTTCTTCTGCAATTACATCCCATGAAACATATTCCTTCTTTTCGCTCTTGGCTTTTTTCTTAATTTTATTTTTAAATTTCTTCAATAGCTCAAGTGGATTTTCATCCTTTCTTGAGAGAGAGAACTTTACTTTTAAGATCTACAGAGTCCATTCCATCTCAACAAAGATATTTTCTAACTATTAATTTTATATCAATAAAAACTATATTTATAATTTTATATTTTCATTATTATTAACTTAGATCATAAATTAATAGATGCAACCAAATGTTCACATGCAATAATGGTTGCAAGCTTCTTCATTCGATTAAATAATAATTTACTTCTTAGACCAAAGAAAAAAGGACCGCATGAATTATGAAAGCAACAATTGGATTTTGAAGAAATAGAGTTTGTCAACCAGTTACTTAAGGTGATTCAAACGGTTGTAATCTGAGTGTGGATGAGAATGCACCATGGTTGAGCACCCAGTAATTTACTTTTGAGAAGGTGTAATTGACATTATTAATGAACTAAAAGGGAGGTAAATTCAAATATGAAATTTATCCTATTTTTTGTGAGTGCATAATCTCAAGCTTAACATTCTTCAAAAATGTCAAGTCTCTAAAATTGATTATATCATGGAAGAGCAAGGGTGGAAAAGGAAGACAACAGGTGAGAAGCAGTGTTAACCTATGACAGTCTTTGTAACCCCCTAAATTTCAAGGGTAATGGAGAAATCTCCTGTTTTTTAAAAACTTTGTTGAGTGGACAAATGTACAAGTGTATCAATTATGTTTGGATGAAACATTTGTAGAATTCTTTGTTAAAATAATAAAATAAAATAGATGGACTTAGTTCTTATCATTTGATTTATATTATTCTTCACAATCCATTATGTAGGGATATTGTGGCTATATTTTTTTAATTTATTGATGTATAGCGTCCAATTCAAAATGATTCTTTCAAATATTAACTGCAAGTGATTCATCATTTTCATAAGATGAATGAACTATTATTCTATTTGTTTGAAACATATATACCTTATTTTGTTTGTGATTAGTTTTTATAATTTCAACTTCTGAGTCATCAAGGCAAAATTTTTGTCATGTCTAAAACAATTAACTTGAAGTATTACAGTATTATTTTTGAAATTTATCTTTTCTTTATTCAATACATTTAATTTTTTTCTTATTTATATACTACTAAAAAAGACAACTTTTAAAGCTCAATTGTCTACTGAAACATTTGAATCTCTAAAGAAAAGAATTAAAAATGTTTTATCTCTACAATTAAATGAATAAACGCATAGAAAAGTCAACCAAATAAAATTACATGTGTATGATTTTGCATTTAAATTTTATGAATTTGTTTTTATTTTTAACATTATTAATTATAACTTCTTGTGTTAAATTCATGTTTACTATTTTTTAACGTGAAATTAAATATATACTGCGTCTTCTAAGTTAGATATGATATCATGCATGTTTGTTATCATTGTATCTATTTCCTCACCCGAAATATCCCCTTATCCTAATCAAGTTATAGCACACATTTGCTGTATGTTGTAGTTTATTAATTTCATATTTAGAGTAATTTCTAATTAATTAATATAAATTTTTTAATACTGATATTATATTAAAATTAAACTTTTATAATTATTTTTTAAAAGTGAATAGTAAACCCTTTAAATAATTTTAATCATCAAATGATGAACACTCCTAAACATGTTTTCTTTTTAATAAAGCAAGCTTGAAAGGTCAAAGTAGGAATTTCTCTGTTCCTTGTGGGCCAACTTGTGAGAGTAAAAAACAAAGATTAAATTAGACACAAAACAAAAGTAAATTGATAAAGAATAGAAGCACAAAAAACACGTTCATTTAAAATAGTCGGCAAGGATTAATGGTTGGTCAGTGCAGATTAGAGGGAATCAATCCAGCTTTTCTAAGAGCGTTGAAATTTCGCATACTCCCAAACCCGCTTCCTCATTCTTCTTTTACCATTCGATCCTTTCTCTTCCCAATCCCTCTTTCATTCCTCGTTTCCTCCGAACAACAATGGATGGTGTCACTGTCAAGTCCGAGGTTCCCGTTCTAGAATCTTCTGCCCAGAAACCTGGTGACAACGTTAGTTCCAACATGGAGGAACACCACCTGGTCCAGCCCAACGTGGTTGATGGGTCAACGATTCATCCCTCTGCCAACAAGTACGTTTCTAATAACACTTTTATGTCTCGCTTTCTGTGGATACAGTACATTGTGTTTCCACAAAACCCGTTTTGTTTTTTTTTCATTTATTATTTTCAGCAATTACCCACTTGCTTGGTCTTTTTAATTTCGGTAAATTTTTCTGATTTCGTGGATGCATAACCGTGGATGAACGTTAAACTGCGGTTTTTGGTTAATTACGGAGTTAGTGTGAGATTAGATAGAGGACGCATGTGTTTTTCGGATCAGCGTGTGCATTGAATTAATGAAAAAAAATTTAAAATAAATAAATAAAAGAGTGTGTGTGTGCGCCTGAAAAGGGGTTTTGTTTAGCGCTGGAGATACATGTACATACAAGGTTAATAATTGGAAAAGGTAACAGTAGTGGACTTCAATTATGCTTGTAAGTTGTAACCCTTGTTTTCTGGATTGAAAACGTTCTTATGAATTGAGAGGACTTTTTAATCTTCTGGATCAAGTAAACTATGTAACCAAAGAAAACTTTGAAATTGAGGGCGTTTTAGATTTGGGTAATTGACTTTTGGTTTGTCAAAAAAAAATATTTAGGGCACAACGACCTACCCTTAATGTGGTTATCCTACGAATTGGGACCTGTTTCATCGAGCAATTGATTTGACTTCATTTGACTCCATCAGAAAGATAATTTAGCATAAGGTGTTATTTAAATTTTAATCCACTTTTTTTTTTTTTCATTGGAGCCACTGTTGATCATCTTCCATGATCTGACCACCCTCTTGAAGCAAGTTTCTGTCTTCCACTCTTCCTCTTTAGTGGGTGCTATTCTGTTTTCCTATCAGATGTATTCATTCCTAATCTTATACCACAAAAATATCTATCAATATATTTTTTTTGTTCCTAATTATAAGAAACAAATACCTATTTTCTCACCCATAGTAGTCTTATCCGGTTGAAACCAGACTGTCGCTAATAGATGATACTTGTGGTCTAAACCAAAAAAATACTTATTTTATATTAATTACTAAATTCTTTTTATATCATTATTTGTTTCTTATAAATAGGACTGAAGATAGTATTTTCTTGTGTATCCACCTATTTACCTCAATCATCTTGTTTTTGCTACACATGTTATTATCATCTTATATATTCTAAGTGTAACCTTTCCACCTAACATTCACTCCATAGAGTATTAGTGTTTTTTTTTTCTCTTGTACTTGTCTCGTAGAATTTTCCTTTTGAGCTTAGTATGCACATTTTGATCATAATATATACTTGAAACTTTTCTTTGTTTAATCCATCCTGTTTGAATATTAGTGATATCTCAATGAAGCCCCAATAACTTTGTAAGATAGATCCAAAATACTGAAATTGTGAAACTTTGTGTATCACGTGACCACCAATTTTCTCATTAGAATAATCTAACTCATGTATTGTTGTACTTGCATCCCAATTCCTTATACTCTTCCATCTTACTTGTACTTAACCAAAATCCATTTGATTCCAAACCGTCTCCCCATTCTCAAGTCTAAAATTTCGTCTTAGTTTCTCTCAACTCATTAGCTTAAACTGTCTTCGCATAAAAGGCATTAAGCTACTGTCTCTTGGATGTGTTGTGTTCAGCAAGTACATCCAATACTAAGGTTAAAAAGTTGTGACTCAAAGTCAAGTCTTGATGCGAGAACATGTAATAGGAAAATATTTTGTTACTCTTCAATCAGATCAGGCAATAGTAATTTCCACATTGTACATATCTTTTATTGCTTGAATATATTCAATGTGAACATCTTTCTTTTTTGGAGCCTTCCAGACTTCTAGTAGTAAACTACCATAGGCTTTTTCATAATCAAGGAAGACCATACCATGTGTTTGTTTTCTTGTCTTCTTATGCATCTTTCCACCAAACCCAGCAATAATTATATGTCCTCTATGATTGACCTTCTTGGCATAAGCCAAATTGGTTTATGTTATTTGCAGGTAATTTTACCAAATCTTCCCTCATTAGTCTTTCCCATAGTTAAATTTCAGAATACCTGTTGTGCAGAAGTAGGTAGCAACGTTGAAAGTGGCAGCAGCAGTGGTGTGCTGGTAAGGTTAGGTCGGATTGCAAGCCTTCTATGCGCAGCACATGCTTTTCTAACTAGGGGTGGTACTAAGACTTGTGGATGACCAGGGGAAAACAACAGGATATGGTGAGCATCCAGCCTTAGCAATCAAACCCAAAATCAAGTGCTTCCTAGCTCTTGGCTTTGAGGGCATTGGCTGTGGCTGATGGATCACCTTTGAGTTTCATCTGATTTTTATCAATTTTGTTTTTATGGGTTTGGCTTTTGAAAATAATTAGCTTTAATTGGAATTATTTATGTGGCATTATAATTGGGTTTCCACTTTCCACTAACCGCCAAGCATTTTGCTGTAGTTGGGGAATCAAAAGTTGATGGAGGAAAATATACTGATTACTGACTTCATTCCAGTATTTTGGTGTGTTTTGTAGGGATAAATTATACATGTTTTGGTCTCTCAAGTAAAAACTATGAAGACACCCACATAAATTTGTATTTGGATTAGCATATTTGTGGAAAAAAAAATGCTTTGTTTTTCTTTTGCAGCTTCTTGAAGGAGATTTACAAGAAAATGATTATTTCCCTTAAATAAAAGCTAAAACAAACATCCACTTATACTAATAAGCTGTTTAGGCTTCACTTGAAAATTAATTATTGGCACATCTCATAATACCACAAAGAGCTTATCACTCCTAAAAGTTTAGAAAATAAAGGAGGAAATTTATTAATTCTAAAGCATCAGACGATTCTAGGAAGTCCAATTTATAATTTCCACCGAGTTCATACTTACCAATGCTGTTATGTGCATGTTTGCATGTAGTTATTTATTTATCTATTTATTTATTATCATCATTATTATTTTCTCTTTTAGGTCAGTGCCAGCATCTGGACTTAATGCAGTGATTCCTAGTACAAGCCAGCTTACCATCTTCTATAATGGGGGTGTTTGTGTCTATGATGGAATCCCTGCAGAAAAGGTAAGCCCCTTGCCACAGCTGCTGTTCCTTCGCCTTCTGCTTTACATGTTATGAAACAATCCAAATCATATATTTTCTTTCTTTTATTTACCAACAGGTGCATGAAATAATGCTTATGGCTGCCGCTGCTGCCAAATCTACTGAAATGAAGAAGATTGGGACACAGTCCACCCTCATTTCACCTGTTCCCACAAGACCTTCTTCTCCACATGGAATCACTAACAGTATTGCTTCATCCCAGAATAATTCAATCTGCAGGCTGCAAGCTGGTAATTTCCCCACTATGATACTAGATTTAGATCTCTCAAATTACTTAGTCTTTATCACTTGCCATTTAGTAACTTCACTGCCTGATATTTTTATGTAAAAAAAAATTAAACTTGTGGCTCTTGCATGATGCCTCTCTTCAGAATTTCCAATAGCACGCAGGCATTCACTTCAAAGGTTTCTTGAGAAGCGACGAGACAGGTACTATTTTCATGCCATGTTTAATTGGGTATCTTATATCTATTCAGTTTAGAGTTTCCAATTTTGTGTATAATTTTCTCATTAGTATCATTTATCTTTGTTAAAGGCTGGGCAGCAAATCTCCTTATCCTTCCTCATCAACAACAAAAGTGGCTGACAACATAGAGAACAACTGCTGTGCTGACAATGCACCAGAATTGATTTCCTTGAAACAATCAGGGGAGGAGTTTCAGCCGACTGTCTCTGCGTCTTGAGCATTACTAATGTTTGTTCTATTTTATGTGTTGTGGTAGTGTGGAAGATCATGAGCGTGCATGTAGATCACAGAAAAGGAACTAATATAATTGTATTATTATGTTCTGGAGTCTGTTACTGTGTTTTATGTGTAACATAACTGTTGAACCCGAAATGTTCTGTAGAAGGGTGACTTGAGAATTGTTGCATGTCTCTATGCACGTCTAAGAAGTATGCTTTGTGTTCTGATCACCTCATTGTAAACGTTGTTATTGTATGTGACTTTGTGGACAACTGATTATCCATTGTGTCGATGTTCCAACTTATATTTTGCGATACCTTTTGAGTTTTTTTTAATCCTTCCTATTTTTCCTTGTAAAGGAGAACAATAATTCGTTGGAAAAAGGTTGATGGACTATCTGAATAATAACAATGTAACTTTCTGGAATGATTTAAATGACAAACAGAACGTATTTAATACTTTCAATTTTTATAATTAATTTCTCTTTACATCATGTATTGCTTTATCCTATCTTAATACTGAAACAAAGCCTATTAAAATTATAATGATGCAACGAGCCACGACTAATAAGTTCTGACACAATAATAATAATAATAATAATAATAATAATAATAATAATAATAATAATAATAATAATACGAAAGAGTTATTGATTTATACATTGAATCAATAACAGTCTTCAAGAAATTGATGGATGAAAGGAGCAATTAGATTGCAACGAAGTTGTTGGAAAAGAGAAAATGTCATTAAAAAGAATTGTTGAATCCCCGGGTTACAAATTTAAACGTGAAATACAAAGGAGACTGTTATTGAACACGTTCACGGGCTGTTACACAGGAAAGAGAAAATGTCATTACAAAAAGACTCTTAACAAATTTTAGAACTCTAGGCCATGTTCACGGGCTGCATCAGCAAGTGCTTGAACACGACCATGGTATGGAAATCCACCTCGGTCAAAGGCCACCTTTGTGATCCCTTTCTCCAAACAGGACTTTGCAATGATCTCACCCACCCTCTTTGCTACTTCCTGATGCCAAAAAGATTCAAAGGGTCAGGACCATCGATCAGTATATGAAAATGCAAAAAATAGATATTGCAGGAAATCTTTTAAGCAAGGGAGATGGAGGCATTACAACCATTAAAAAACGGTTTTTACATGATACTCATTAGATGTTTGAAGATTAAAATGAAAGGAAACTCTGAATATTACAAATGTTTTGGTACATATATCAAGTAGGTTTTGAAGATTATTTGATTAATTTGTTGGTAGGTTGAAGAGAATTTTTAATGGAACCTTGTCTTAAAATCCACTGTTGGGTAGCAACTTTGATTTGATTCATTCTGCCTCCCTCTTTGTGTATATATTAACATATTTGAGGAAAATAAAGAAACTGATGATCAGTTGAAGGTGTAATGTACTTCTAATTTAGTAGTTATTACCACTGAAAGTGGCGACGAACATCAGGATGTAAATGCTTTCTTGCCAAATGCAAACTAAACTATATTGGCAATGAGATCTGAGAAAGTGCATCATTATCAGAAGTAATTATTTCCAGTTAAGCATGCATGCATTGCCAAGAAACTCACTATCCACTAATTATGAGATTGGCAATGGAGTCTTCGACTGCAACAGATGTAGCTTACAATGATTACTACGAAAAAACATGCATATTTATACTGATGGAACACAAAAGGTTCCTCCTTCATCATTTTATTTTTTTTTGTGGTTTCTCATAGGAGGCCTAGGATACGGATATGGTTATGGGGATCTGTAACCCACTAAACAATATTTTTTAATGGTATAGTTGCCACAGTATGAAGTTTGAAAATTATATCCAAGAAAAAATCTTTAGCTAATAGTTGTTGAGTTTATTGATAAAGAAGAAAGACAAATGACAACAGTGAAGGGCGTATAATTACAACATGCAATTGCAATACATCTTTCTTTGAGATTAGGCGCATGCCTCTTGGCCATGGCATCCCCACCCGAAGGTGAGGGCAGCAAACAATATGTCTTCGCAAAGTGCTCAAAGTTTCCTCTAGGAATATAGAGTTTTCCACTGATCACTAATTTCCTTTCCATTGATCAGCATTTAATTTTTTGCATTGTTAAGGAACCATTATGTTTTTCAATCAGGAAATGGGAAATTTTCTTATCATTTTAGAACAGAGGCAATATATTTTCAGTAACACAACACTCAGTTCAATCTGGTAGTGATTCAATTATAATATCTTAGTAGTGCCTAACACACAACAGTGAATAGAGCATTTCAATAGCATATATGGAACTTACAATTGTTGGGCCAGAGGTATAGTTAAACTCTTCAGCAATTATCTTTTGCATTGTTGAAACCGAAGCAAGAGTGTGCATCTTGGTGTCATCTATCACCTGGACAGAAAGATGCTTGTTGGATCTATAAACAGACAATCTTGGTCTTTCAGGTGTCCCTTCAACCTGATAAACCAAAAAAATGATTCCGAAATATATATCACTGCATTCTTCATGACAGCAGATCTCCGTATAACAAAGATTGTTATACCAAAGCATGGAGATAGAGTATACAAACAATGGTTATGCACTTCCATATCCATAATAAATTAAAGTAAAATGGCAAGAAGAAAAAGTGGAAGGAAATGAAAGAAAACTTTCATAAGGAGCCTATTTTTCATTCTAAAACTTGAAGTAACCTACATGGCTGCGCTCCATCTTCCTTTCTTTACTTTATTTTATTTCATTTTCTTCTTAAATCATGGATCAGTTACGTAGAAACTTCTCCACATCTGCTCACAATATGTGAAATATGTTAATATGTACATCCTTATTGCCAACGCCTCAGGAAATCCTACATCAGGATCAGGAATACTAGCAACACACTTTTCCCAATGCACTATTTACTATTGACTGAAATTTATTAGAATTCATGAAATGACTTGGGTCTTATTCCCTATTCAACAAGTCTTAATCATAATTTTCTCAATTCCAATAAATTTCAGCCAAACAATGCATAAAACTCTCAGTTTTAATTATAAGGAATACGCATACGGTAGATTCAGATTGTGTCTTGTGACCACTGGGTTCAGACAGGGGGGAATAGTAAGACAAAAAAAAAGTAATTAAAAAAAAAAAATCATCACTCTGCAAGTTCTAAGTCCCATGAATTAAAAAACAAAGAGGCATTGTTACTTACCCTCCACAGCACAAAAAGAACTCAAATTTAGCACAATAACGTGGGGGGTAACATAAAAGAGAGAAAAAGGCATGTATCATTGGCAAAGGAAAGACGGGTGAAAGTAAAGTAAATGAAGGACCTTCTTCCTGATACGAACGTGGCGTGCAGTCCTGTCTTCTCTTCGGGTTCTGGAATTGGCTTCAACAACAAATGGTAACAAAAGAGAGGGTTTGGGATTTGGCGTTGAAATTGTCAATAGGGAAGAGGAAGAGGAAGCACGAGAATGAAAGAAGGAGAGCGAAGAAGCTAACATTGTAACCACTTTCAAGCTTCACACTCTCACTCACACCACCGTTTTCCCAATTTATCGTCACCTTATCCTTTCTACTACAACAAAAAACAGTTTCAATTTTCACCCCATTCAGCTATTACTTCTGTTCTTTAGTGTCTTTTGCAAATTATCACTAAATAAGAAATTAATAAATAAATATATTTTAATATTTAATTATATTAATATTTTGTATTGTGTATTATTTTATAATTTTTAATATAAAATTATTATACATAAATTTTTAAATATATGTTAAAAAATGTTACTTTAAACATGTTTTTTAATTACTTTTTATTTTTTTATTTTTTAGAAAATATGTTTTTCTATGATGGATACTTCTATTAACGATCGTCGGACCGCGTAAAACTGTTGAATTTAACTTTTATGTGCTATTAATATAAAAGATAGCTTTAAATATATTTTTATTTTTTAAAAAAATTTTATGAGCTATTAATTTTAGTCTTAAATTTTGTATTTTAATTTTTAATTTTCTTAAATTTGTCACTTTTGTTCTCTCTTATTAACAAGGTACAATGAAAATTTTTCACGTAATTATCTATTAGTTAATCACTTTATTGTTAAAAATTAGATGTGTGAAATTTAAAATAATCAGAAATTAAAATAAAAACTTTTAAGAGACTAAAATCAAAATCTTACAAAAATATAAATTTAAGAAAAAAAATTATAGTAGCTTAATATTAATAATATGCCGTCAGGTTATTTAATATTTATATTGTTGAATTTTTAAGTGCGTATGTGTACGTCTGTGGGTGTAGTAATATTGTTTGTTAGGTATTTTTTGCATTTGATAAGTAAGAGATTAATTTCTCAAAATATGTTTAAGCGTTTAAAGTGAAAATGCATTCTAACAGCGTCTAATATTAACTTTGATAGGGATGAAATTAGGTTTATCTTTTTCACTATTTACTTTTCAAACTTAACCTTAAAATTGTCAAATGTTAAGACAATTTTAAGGTTAGGTTTGCTCAAGGTGTTAAGACCAAAGAGTTATATGATTTATAAAGAAAAATAAATTTAACTATTATTTTATTCTCTATTTATATATATATATATATATATATATATATATTTGTCAAATGTTAAATTATTTTATATTCTTTATTATTGTAGGTCTAAATTTACATTTAGGCATTGCATTGGTTTTTTTTTTTTTTTTACTTTTTATTATCTTTTGAAAATATTTTGACTTCTTTTATTCTTACTTGTTTTAATTATTGCTCACATTTCACGCTTTCATTGTCATGATCACTTTAAATTAGATCCTACTTTATTCTGTTGAAGTTTTAGATATAATACAGTCAAGGGGTTGAATTTTGAATATTACATTAAATATTAGGTGATTATTGAATGAATAATGAATATTTTTATTTTCCTGTTGCGTAACTTGAAAACAAAATTTAAAAGATAGGTGCACACCTCTAACTATAAAGCATAAACTAAATGCAAAATTAAATGCCTAAAAAAAGCATATATTGATGCTTGATTTCATTTTTAATTGTTTGAACATATTTATTGTGCTTTCTTTTTAATTTTTATTATTAATAATTTTAGTTATTGAATAGTTAAATTGTTTCACCTTCTATTATCTTTTTTTGTCAGTACTTCCTTTTTCAAATAATTTATTATATTTTTCATTTTTTCAGCAAACAACATATCTATTTTCTTCCATTTTTAATGCATTTTCTCTTTTATATATGTAGATGAGATCGGCTAAAAGACTAACATTAAAAAATATATGTTATGTTATTTGTTATATCTTTATGAGTCCAATTTTGAAAACAGAAAAAAGAATGTACATTTCAACAAAAATCTCACCATGATTTTCGAACTCATCAACCATGGGGATTCCCTATTAATAACACCTTGACTTGCAAGAATTACAGTGAAACTGCCACCACCATCATTAAATTAAGAAGGGGCACTGATTCAAACCTATAAAACACCTACACAAATATCGTTTCATTTTCTACAATGAGAATTACATTCATACCAGATTCAAAAGCTAGTAAGCTAGCTAAAACAAGCTAGTATGATGCAATCATGACTTAAACATTAGCATACGAAAACATATGCTAACTTGCTTAAGTAGACCTTTTTTTTTTAATGTGATTTTTTTCTTCTTCTGTTTACTTGGTAGATGAAAGGAGAAGGGAAAGAGTAGGCTCATGTCATGAAGAAGTTATATTGCAGGTTGTAGATTTTGACTTATCAAGGATAGACCACATAACTTGAACATCTTCATAACCACATGCCATTACTTCACCGTGCAGATCCATTATTCTGTTCTCTTGCTCTGCTGAATAATACAAACCAAAGATCAATACACAATATCATATAAAAGAAAATGTTTGGTAGACAACTTTAGAGAAATAGACACTCAGAGAGATAAAAAGCGAAATAAAAAATTGAACGGTGTCAAATGAGTAAGAACTGTACAAAATTGATGACCCACGAGAGCTTAAGTTGTGATAGTGATGTTGAAGAAATGGTAATGTCAAGTACACACACCTGTCTGAGACTTCTTATGGTCCCTTGGTGGTTGCTGGTTAAAGAAAGTGCAAGCTTTTTTGAATGGGGATGCGATGGTCTTCTTCCATGAGGCCATTATATTGGGTAACTAAATTAGTATTTGATAAGAGATTTTGAATTTGGTGCTAAGTCCCTTTGCAATGACAATAGTGTCGAGGCCTTATATACTATGCAGATGATGTCTATGTGGGAGAATTATAATATACGTAGTGGGAGAGGCATAGAAAGAGGGAGAGAGAGAGAGAGAGAAGCAAGATCCGTGAGATGAGGCTATGGATGGAAGGAACATCACTCCTTTTTTTAGTTACCTTATCTCATCAAACAAAAGGGTCGCCGACTGTACACAAGCACATGCTGCACGCTTCCTCACAGACCCTCCTTACACGTGAATTCTTTTCCACTGGATTCTATTATTATTATTATCATTATTACTATTGCTAAAGGGGTTATTTGCTCTTCCTTCTTTGCCACACAACATATAGGCAGCTTCTGGTCTTTTCGTGGAAGGCCCCTCATTGCCATTTTACAACTTCTTTTTGATTCCTTTGTCTCTCTTTGCAGATAAATCACACGCATTGGGTCAATTTCATGTTCACTAGTCCCTTTTTGGCCTCCCCAGTTCATACAGCTATTTTTCCTGTTGACATGTTTCTAGTTGTTTCTGTGGGTTTGGAATTATGAGCAATATTTACCCGTCTTCCTGGATAATGATTTAGAAATTTTAATAAAAATATAGTAACAAATCTTTTAAATATAACTTTTTTGTATGTCCTGTTGAGAGTGAACCATGTTTGGGGTTTCAAAATCTTTTAGATTACTTGAGGGGTATGAGTGTGACTTATTATTTTTACTATTCTTCTTGTTTATATATCCACATTGGTGCAAAAGACTACGAGTAGATAAGGAAAAACTGAAGTATTGGCGCTTTGATGGGTGTTTATCTCATTGGGGTCAACAATAATAGGGTGATTCTGAGAGGGGAGGAACCCCAATGCTGATCTGCAAACTCTGAGGCCTTTGTAATGAAGAAAGTTGGTGATTGGACAAAGAATTAGTTCCCCATTTGATGGCATGTGATGGCCACATGCTTTGGTGGGAAATGGGAACATGGAAGACTGAACTCTTAGCCAACCCAAAAGAAAAACCAACCCATGTGGGTCAGCCCCATCATCTAGTAAGTACCCCAACTTTGATTTTTTACCCTTTGAATTCATGCAAATCTTCACAAATAGATTACAATTTTGAAATGTCAACACAAGTGCAATGCTGCCTTTCATTCTAATCATGGGTTGACATGACACACATTACTTACATTTAAGGCAACCATTACTTTTTAAAATACCTTTAAATAAGATAAATGATATCCAAATCTTTTCAAAATATTTGTTAAAGAGTTTTAAAAATTATTAACAATATTATTCACAACATTTAAATATCATTTATGACTATCAATTCTTAAATAAAACGCCAAGAGTATTTAATTAAACAGGAGCATTTTAAAGATTAATTTTTTTTATCATGTCAAATAATTATTTTACTTTATGTATTTATTTTTTAATTATTTAATATAATAAACATTATTATTAATAATTATAATACTTATTCTTTTATGAATTTATAGAATTTATAGAATTTATTAAATTTTAAAAAATAATATAATATATTTTTAATCAATTATTTTAAATTTTTAATTTAATTTAATGTTACTTGTTCAGTGTGAAAAAAAAAATACTAGTTAAATAGCTAGTCAGGTACCTTTAAAGAATTACATTCTCAATCCTTATTCATGAATATTCAGCAAAGTTATTACTCTTTATTCATTTAATATTTTTCACTTTTTTTTTTCTAATTCCTTCTTCATATCGCACCACATTATTTATCACTTCGCTTCTATTTTTTATGTATCTCTAGATGTAAATTCTGTTAGGAGTGATTATTAATTGTTTTTAAATATTAAAAATTAATATTATTTATAATTATTTGACTTAAATAAGTTGTTGATATTTATAAAAGTTATTACGTTTGAAATTAATCTTAAATTTTTTTTATTAAAACTTAGTTTCTAATTGTTATTAACCTTTGTTTGTGAAATATTGAATAGGCTAATAGATTTTTATTTTTTTTTATACTCGCTAATAGAGTTTTAATTGAGCATTGCCACATGTCAAATATACATGGCTGATCTATATCCTAATTAACACAATATTTTTTTTAAAGTAGAGGTTTAAATAAATAAAATTTTGTTTACTATAAAAATCACTGTATATGAAATTAGTGCATAAAAAATTATGATTTAGTCCTTAAACTAAATGAGTAAAAAATTAATTTTTATTTTAAATTGTTATGTATTAAGTATTGAATTAGTTAATAAAATTTTAAATTAATGTTGTCATAGGCTAAATATTTATTATATTTTATCCTAATCAACATACAATAAAAAGTTTTCTAAAATTTTTTTTCTCTCATTTATTCTTATTGACATTTTTCTTCTTTTTTTAGAACAAAGATAAAATAAAAGCTAAGACTCGTGGATATGGAGTAAGAGGACATTTGCTTTCACCTTGCACAAGTGCTATATTTTTAGTACTAACAAATATTATTTAGATGGATTTTTACATGATTATTAGGGTTAGAGCTTGTATCAATTTTTATAATTATATATACTAATTAGGATTATAGTATGCTAAGTAGTTGACATGTGTCAATGTTGAGTTAAAAATCTATTTGTTAGCTTATACTTAAAATACAAAACTAAGTTATATGATTTAATTTTTCACTTGTTTAGTTTGTTAGAGACTAAATTTTAATATTTTAAAAAAATAATTTTAAATGTAACAAATTTTATAAAGACATCATGTGCTAATTAGAATAAAGATTTACCCTACATATGAACACTTTGATATGATCCAAAGTTATCATAATTGACTATAGATGTGGTCAATCTCACCGTTAAGATTAGTTAAAGTTTGCTCCCAACAAAGGAACCTTGATCTTGTACTTAATTTTGAACTTTGCATCTGGAAGTACTCTAACCCTAGTATAATCAGTAAGCTAGTTAGCTCATCTAACTTCTAACACCAAAATGTTAAGTGACACCTTATAATGGGCGTGCTAGAACTGAAGACTTTTTTTTTCCTTGTACAAAGGGAGTATTATTCAACAAAATGAATATACTTCACTTGATAAAAACTCTATCCAAATTCATACTAACCTTTTAAGTGTTTTATGCAAAAGTTTTCTTCTCTATTGCAACTTCAACTGCACAACTAAAACAATTTTTGCACTAGCAAAACTTAAGATATTAAACAACTGAATTGAAAATTTATAACGCAAATTAACACTTACTAGAAAAAGAATTACTAATGGGAACTGATTTTTTTTCTTTCTTAATTTGCTAAAGACTAAGTTTTAACAAAAGACTAATTCAAAACATAAATTATATGAGATCTAAAATGTTATTAAAATTAATTATTTTAATTATTATATATATTTAAAATAAATATAATATTTTTATTATGTTATTTTATTGATCACAAAACTTTTAAGAACATACTGTCTGCACCTTTTAGCTAACACAATTCTTTAAAAGTAGACGTGAGTTTATGTTGAAAGCAATGCATAATCAAACATATTATATTGTTAACTTCTCAATGCAATTTGATTTGATTTGAAAAATTCAGCCTACGTTCCCCGAGTTGGAAATTTCAACCTATGTCCACTGCCTTCCGTTTAAAGTGTGTCTGTTCATTGGTCACAAAGGCATTAATGAATATATTAACGAAAAACTCATTATTAATTAAGAATAAAATAAACTAACACTATGGTTACTTTGAACGTAACCGAAACTGAAAGTCAATATATATTACCTTATCTCGGGGTATCTGACAGACACCCCATAAAGAATGGAATCTAAAGTCAGTGGAATATCCAAATTTGGGGCAAATGGTTTTATGTGTTATGCTTAAAGCCCTTTGAAGTAAAGCTCGTACTGTGTGAGACGCATAACATAACATCGTTGGTACAAAGTAACTGTCCATAAACCATAATCCAGAGAAACTCAATGCAACAGTGCATCCCCTTTGATCCTAGTTTTGCAAATACACGAGTTATTCTTTACATTTTTCAATTAGTTTTAACTTTATTTATTTCCTTTCACATGCAACGTGACTGACAACTACAGTCATGATTATTGTTTTATAAATGAAAATAATGCATTTGTTTAACAACGAATTGAGATGATTGGTGGCTGATTTCACATGTAGGCAGACGGCATGTTTGCGAATTCAATGCATGGTCGGTCTTTACTTTTCCTCTTTATAAATCCTTTATTCCCTTATTATTATTGCTCCTTTTTATTTTATTTCTCACCTTCAATTTTAAAATCTCACATGTATCATTGTTTATTTTCATTGATGAAGAATATCCAGAGGTTCTCTGCCATTTGATTAAAAATTCTGTTTAACATCATACAAAAATTTCAAATCTAATTTGCTAATAAAAAACATCAGAGTTTGAGAAGTTTTAAAAAGGGTGTTTTGTTAAAGGTTTAATTTTTTGTTATCTATATAAAAAGGGTGTCTTGTTAAAAAAAGATAAAACTCACCTTAATATAATTTTTATATTTTAAAAGGTTTAAATTTTAATATATGAGAAGTTTTAGTCTAAAATGTGTTCTTCCCTAGCAAATAATCTACCTAACCTTAGTTTATACATTGGTCTCTTATTACAAGAGAGCTTAAAAACCTGATTCGTCCCATTAACATCTCCATACAGAAAGAAAATTTAATTTTGCAAAGAAGTCATAAGGGTTATGTTTCACTGTCTGATCCATTCTTAACTGACCCCAATTAGTCCTTTGTGGTGGATAGGAGCCTAGGACTTGGGAAGTAGATGTGGACACAAACATGGCCTTAACTAACCCCATTTGAAGACGACGAAATAGAAAGGATCCAAGGAAATGGAAGGGTTGGCAAAGTGCAAGATGAAGTACAATCCGGTGGAAATCAAATTGCCAACTAGAGACCAATAACGTACCACTAAGAAGGACTTGAGCTTGGATGCAATCATCAAATACCAAGCTATGCATATCCACTCCATTATTTAATTCATGCCTCAAGTTATCTTGCAAGGCTTCTGAGTACACAATAATTATGTGCATATTTTGTCTCCCAAAGACGGGGAATTGGTCCCCGCATCCATCTTCTGTTAGTTTCAATTTTTTTTTTAATTTTTAATTTGAGACCCTTTTATTTGTATTTTAGGTTATTCATTCTTATCCTTACTCTTGTGGATAATTATTGCTTTTTGTAAGACTTAATTAAAAAAAATATAACTGCATAATTTTATAATGACTCTCGGTAATTTATTTATACAGTAAAATTATATAGAAAAGTGTATAGCTGTTTATCGCATAAAAGTATAAAACAAAATACGGATCCCATCACTAAAAAAATACTAAAATCTAACAACAAAGCATCCCTGTTATAAAAAAAGCAGAATCATACATCAAGATATTATATAGCTGAAGCCGTATACGCCATGGATTATTAAGCACTTAAAAGAGTTAATTAATAAGCGTGAGAGTGTTGTTAGACAAGACAGAATCCCAGTGAAAGGCAACCCAACTGCAAGTAAAAGCAAAATTCTATTGGTATTCAGCATAACGTTTAACATTAAGTCCAAATTTAGCTCAAGTATCAAGAATACCATAGAAACCTTCATTCATACCTATAAAGATCCCTTTAATTCTGTTTTAAGCCAAGCTCCATTCCTTGAGTAATTACATTATAAACTACTTAAGCACAACATTGGTTTCTTTTCCCAATCAATATATTAGAATTTGCATCCATTAAGATTAGCTCTAATCTCTAGTTCTAAGATATGAGTTTAATCAAGCACAAGATAATGACATGATTCAAAGCATCCCTTCTGAAGCTACACCAATCCTGTGTGGACATATGTCCATAGCACCACATGGGCACAAAACGACACCTTTTTTTGGGATGATTTCCTTAATAGGCAGAGTCCATACTGTGAAAAATGTTCTTTACCTAACGCTAGTAAAACCGAAGCCACCCCGAACCATCCACAACATTTGCGCCATACTCCATAAAAGAATTTGCATATGAAAATAAGTGATGAATTGTTTCCTCTTCATTATGACGTAATATGCAACTGCATTCATGATTCATATTGAATTGGTAATTTCTGTAGAATGGTTGTCTATGCACAGTTGTAGACCTTAGAAGGGACCAACTTGGACCAAATTCTTCTGAATAATCTTCTGTCAGCATTTCCTTCAACATGTAGCAAGACCTTGTATGTTGATTTTATTAGGTACTGCCTCACTGGATTACGTTTGCGGACCCACCCATCTGGCTCATCAAGTTGAATTGAAACAACACTAATAACTTGCAAAAAATCACTCAAAGAAGACACTTCCCAATTAAAAAACTTTCTTCTCCATTTGTGGTTACATCTCCAATTCTCTCCCACCCATTCGTTGATATTTATTATGCTTGCCTCTTTGTTTTCAGAAATTGAATATGGTCTTATAAATTTCTCTTTTAGAATCCCTTTCTTACTCCACGTTTCTTCCCAAAATAATACATCCCTTACATCCCACACCTTCCTTTTAATATTACTATTGATCTAGGGTCAACGGACTTGACCGTGATTAGGAAGGCCAAACCACTAACCGTAACGAGATCAACATTGAACTACTTTGGATTCCAATTGTTGACCCTTAACTGTCTCAAACCTCGGCTAGGATTACTTTGGATTTATCTTAATCAGTTAACATGAATAACGCACCAGACACTCAATTAAGGAGGAATATTCTCGCCTAATCCTCGGATAATCGGAGTTTCAAAAGGTAACCCATTCCAAATGATGCCAGTAAATCAGCTGGCATCAGCGTAGTAGCAAGTCCCAAAATCCGGTTAAGCTCACGTCTATACAAGGAAAGCTTTGCAAATGAATATGGATATGAGATTGGATGATCGTACTGGAGAATACATCCTCTTACATAGTGATCTACCAAGATAAAATATGAAAAATAATAATCTACACAAATAAAGCAAGTTGCATCACTTGATGTGAGATAAGGTAAGTGAGAAATAAGAAGGTTTTATCTTGATGAGAATACTATCATGATCCATATCTTCTAAGTATCATGAGATAATAAGGTAAGTTGGTTATGTCATGGACTCACGATCTCCATAGATATGGAGTGGTCTGCGATTATAGTCTTCTAGCTGATGTTTCGTTGAAGGCAGGATGTTGGAAGATGTTTTGGTTGAGGAATATTGCCTTGTTTTGGTCACATTTGTTGTGCAAGTGTTATCATGTTCTACGATGTGAATATAGCAATAGGCCATGATCTATCTTTAGATTGTCCTTGGAACATAATTCATCTTCATATTGCATGTTGGGCACTCTTTGGGACATGTTTCCTTACTAGCATATGTCATTCGATCCTCTGCCAGGATAAACCTTTGTGGTATGTGTTGCATTTATTATTCAAGATATTAGGTGTATCCATTGAACCTCATCAAGTCAGCTTGGAGCATTTACTCTTCCATTTCATTAAGTAGCCTTGGCATTTATACTATTAAATTTGATTTATCAAATATTTCATTGTTTGACTCTTTTTAGGATTTCACATACTTTGTAAATATATAATCTATTATATAAAAATATCTTAATTTAAGGCTCCATTATTTATTTAAATTTTGAAGTCTCAATCATCATAATTCTAAGAAATTTTATGAGCCTAATTATATTTAAAACTCATGAATATGACACGTGTACATATATAATTGTAAAAGCTGTTAATTTAAGATAAGAAAAAATATGTACACATAGCAAATTATAATTTTATCTAAAATGCAATAATTTTCTTTTTAAAATATTTTTAATTTCTTTCTTTTATTACGTTGATCTCATTTTTTAAATAACATGAAGTGTCTATTACTCACTAAATGAATAAACTTTAAAAAAATTCAATATATTAAAAAACTTTAAAAAGATCAACCTGTAAACAAATGAAGCTCATATTTTTCAAAAGGTTAAGTACAAGTTTTAATTTTGGATAATTCAAATAAATAATTAAAATGAATTAAACTTGAGTATCATATTTTTTTTTCCAAGAGAAGCCCGAGTTTTAAATGTTTGGCTTAGTTTAATTTATTTATTTTATTTTAATCTTTATCACTTTTTTTTTCATAAATTCTTTATTATTAGAGGAAATGTAAGTCTATCTCAAAAAAATAATAAGGTTTACATTCCACTCCTTATTTGGTGGCTATCACTTTTTATACAGTGAAAAATTAATTACTTATGTTTTCTTAATAATAGTCTATTAATAAAAAAAAATATCATGCTAACGTTTCTGCACTTCTGGAATAACAGGCAGCTGATTTATGATCATGTGCATAAGTCATGTCAACAACTTATTAACACGACCATGTCACACAGACCACTATTTTCGCATCAATGGCAAGTTGGATGACTAATATTAAGCTTGTTCTTAGTTGAAATGCGAATTATGGGTCCAGAAGCACTATTCACGCGCAACATTGCACGTCAAAGTAATGTTCATAATGCAGTTTGCATTATACTGTTGGAGTTCAACTTACATGTAAGCGAAAAAAAGCCGTCATATCAATTTTGTTAACAGGTTATTCATATCAAATGTTCGATTGTCTACATGCAATGAAAGAAGAAAATGCAATATGCTCGAGAGAAATCAACTTGTCCTGACAAATAGAAAGTTATAGAATTCAGGGTCCTGTCATGTTCGAAAGAATTGTGTATTTATCTACCAGATAGGTTGAACTATGTATATCATTGCAATGTTTATCAACGAATTGTGGTCATGTATTATAAAATCGTTGAAATAATTAATCCCCTCATATATACTATGATGCTTTGACTCAAATAATGTTGACTGTTATGGAAAAATACATATACCGTCCAAGAAAGTACGTGTGTCTGCTCTCTTTTGACGAAATTACCAATCAATAAATAAACATTCTTTCTATATATTATGAACCAGTTCATGACTATTTGAAGTTAGCTCTGATTACTTTTTCTGCATAAATTTATAAATTATAATATTCTCCTGTTGTCTTGAACGAAAGGGCCAAAGAATATGATGTATAGAAAGAAAACTGAAGTGATAGGCGATAAAATTGATTCCCATACAAGATGAACTTGGTTATCCAATACCCTAACAGGACTTTCTTTTTACTTAACTGTTTTTCTACAGTGTGCACAGGTTAAAAATAATAACTATTGTTATTAAATATTTTTATAATTTTAAAATAATAAATATTTTATTTTAAATTTTTAATATGTACCATCAAGCAAATAAACTATTTATCGAATTATAATCGACCCATTAATTTTGAGATAAAAGTTATTGTCAAAAGGCCAAACAGATATTATTAGGAGGCAGGGGCATGAGTCAGGACAGCTTTTCAAATTTCAACAGTGTAGAGCCAAACAGTTATTGTCAAAACGAATTTTATGCTGATTAATGTTAATTACCAAATTAGCTACTCATATAACCTTTTAAGTTTAAATTTATTCAAGCTTCATCATAACATGAACGTAAATATTGTCAAGTGCTCTCGTATATTAATGGGATTACATTATCAATAATCACATTAATTTATTCCGGCTAACTTGCATTGGATCCACACTCTAAATACATAATCACTAACATATATAATAGCTTGCAAGAATGGAAATTAAGCAATGAAGAAATTAAGGTAATTTTAAGATGCCAATTGGTGCTTAGAATCGGTGACTCGTGTGGCATAGTATCTAGCAATGAAATCAGAGGCTTTTCTATCAATACCAGGCTCAGCAACCCAATGTTCACTATCTTCATCACTTACAAATATTCTTCTCCCACTGCCACTCCCTTCCCAATAGTGATCATGTCTGCTTCCATTTGAGAAATACGCCTTGAATACACTCGAAAATGAGTAAGAAGATGACCTCTTGGCTCCCATTGTCTCTATCTTCTCTTTCTTTTTCACCCTTTTTCCTTTTGCTGATCGATGTGTGAGCCAGCAAGTGTCACTGTCAACACTTACAACCCCTTATAGTTTTTTCAAGGATATACAATTGAGCTCTAAGCTTCTGTGTTTTTGTTAAGTGCTTTGTTTATCTTGGTTGTAGGTTGCATACATGGAGCTGTTTGCTTTTATATATAGTGGGTGGTCACATGGTAGGTACCTAACCTTTAATTGATGATCTAAAGGGAGGGTAAGCACTAAGGATTCTTGAAACAGTTCTGTTGTTTAAATGGCTGAAAATTAACATTGATGTGATATTATATATATTGATTATTTTTCTTATGCATATATTAATTTTAAAATATGAATTACTTTGCCTTTTGTGTATTATCGGTTTAAAGATTTTTACAAATTACATTGTCAAAGAATTAGCATAAAAATTGTTTATACTGTTAATATAATTAAATTTAAAAAACAACACTTAAAAAGTAAAGAAATAACTAAAAACTATCCCAAAAATTGTTATAAAGACAACATTATTATTGTTTCTTTACATCACCGATGACTGATATGAATGGTTATACCATGATTATGAAACTCGTAAGAAGCATAAGCGTTCTCGTCCTCTACTTTTTGAATTGTCACGCAATACTTCTCCCCTGGCTAGGTGATACAGTGCCCATCTTTGCTTTTGTTAGTTACTATTATCACTTTGTTTCATAGATTCCTTCTTTTTCTTATACAAATAATGCCTACGGAAATAGAATAATGCAAAGTGAACCACAATCCAAAACCATTATAATTGGTTCAATTTGGATTATCACACTTCATTGGATCATTTCAATCTTATGCTCTTCGTCGATAAATTTTTGATGTGTAGTTTACAACTACGTGTATTGACCCGAATAGAGATTTTAATTTATTGGTATTTCAGCATGATGGAATTTAATTTCAAAGAAAGACAAGATGAATACTAGTAAAATCCCTATATCAATGACAGGTTACTTCCAAGGGATGAAATTCTGATGAAGGTTTAGAGGAAAACACAACACTGAAGTAGCCATGCGTAGCAATCTTTGTGAGATATTTCCACAATATAAAATGTAATATTTCTTCATTTAAATAAAAAGTAGTAATGATTTATTTGAATTAAATAAAAATTGTACTGTTTCATTTATAAATAGTTATTTTGTTTCGTAAACAAGACACCACTTGAAATAGTGTAACTTTTTGTGGTCAAACACAAAATGTCTACAAATAAGACCATTTTTCAAGCACATGAAACATGCATAAAAAGACTCAATTTTCATTCAATTATCTCAATATATTCAGAAATTCATTTGTCTTATCTTTAATGTATAAGAAATAACAAACATAACTATTATTCTATAAACACTAAAGCTGTCACGACCTTAGCTGTTGTGTAAATACAAAAAAACATTCAAGATTCTTAATTGTATTTTAAAGGGAAACATCACCAAACCTATTTTGCATCCGAGTTGAGTTATTGAAGGAGGCAAATTAAGCTTAAAAAATGTGTATTTACGCCTTAAAGAGGTTGTCCATACTTTTTTTAACTTCTTTTATTCTTCAAAGATCCATTCCAAACAACAATCGTTAGGCTTAAATATATATATTTTTTTTATTGTAAATGGCTTCTTCTAAAGATTTGACAAAGGACTGTGTTGAAATTAGAAAACGTTTAAAGTGCAAAAGAAAATAAAATTTCTTCTTACTGCCTTGAAAGTGGTTTTTTTCCTCACCACTCCTAGCCCCAAGAAAAAAGAGAAACAATGACTAAAATTAGAAAAAGACTACATATGCATCAGACACATTTTCAATGAACTTTATTGATGATATAACTGTTTGAATCCTAATAAATCTGCAGATTCGATTTTTATGTTATTTAAAATAAAAGTTATATTAACTGTTACGTTAAGTTTGTTTCTGTTTTTTCTTTTTGAAATAATTTATTCGTAATTTCTATCTACCAATTTTGTTTTCAATTTATTTTACATAATTTTTACCTACTAATTCCATTTTAGATTTGTTTTATAAAGATAGTTACTCTGCATATGAATAAAATATATATTTTTTCAAAATTAAGTTTCTTTTTTTTTACTTCTTTCACCCTTTACGTCAATGCAAGTAAAAACAGCAAACTTAATGACTCACTCTTTGATATTTACCAAGATTCAATCTCTGAAAAGAAACTGTGGGAGAAAGTAGAGGCAAGACACATCCAAGAAGAAACATTAAGTAAGATATTTCTTGTTACTCATTTCAATTACTATAAAATGGTTGATGAAAAATCTATTATGAAACAAATGCATAAGATTGAGCATATTTTGAAATATTTTCAAACAATATAACATACATATGGATGAAACCATCATTGTTTCCTCAATCAAAGACAACCTTCTTCCTTCGTGGAAAGACTTTAAAAAGACTCTTCAACATGGAAATGACAACATTTCTCTAGAGCAATTAAGAAATACTCTTCGTTTAGAAAAAAGATTATCGTAAACAAGACAATAAATACTAAGGAAATTAATGCTCATGATAGGGTTCATGAGATGGAGGAAGGAGAATTAATATTTTGTCTATCATGATATGCTCATGATAGACAATTAATCCAACGAAGTAAGAAATAAGGATGCTAGAATAAATCCATGTATCCAAGCCATAGTGAAAATGTTGGTAAACTTGAACCTTTGTTTTGGGCCTAGTGGGCATGATTTATTATAGGCTTGTAAGAGGGGCAGATTTGGGCTTGAGTCAAGGATCCTTTGAGCTTAATACTTTTAACTCAACTTATAATATAATTTAGGCTTTGGCCTGCCATTCCATTTTCGTGAATGAAGTATTTTCGACCAAAAAGAGAAAGACAATTTAAAGGAAATTTAGTTAAAAAATAAGAGATATTCAATTCCTCGTGCAAGCCCAATATACAGAGTGAGGACATCCCAAAAATAATAGATAGATAGATAAATAGGAAGAGAGAGATAATAAGTGAGCCTTTGTGCATTTCTCGCTCCAATTAGGTACGAAAATTTTCTCTCTTCCTCTCCTTGAAGCTCACAGTTACCCATTCATTTCCTCACTTTTGATTTAAAGGAAGCTAATGAGTTTTATAGTTCTTACTTCCTAAGAGTTAACTAGAAGCAAGAAAATTAAGTTATGAAGGCATGCGGTTTAGAGAAATAAAAGTAAACTTTTATACTAAAAATTTAATTACATATAATTATTCGTAAAATGAAATTACAACACAATAAAAAACACTTCGATAGCATTTGGTTGTAGGACAGAAATACTGAAACAGAGACACAGAAGCACGTGTATTATATCTAGCTAGTGTCTTGCTGGAGAGATAGAGACACAAAAGACATGCAGGACACAAATTTAAAAGACACCATTGTATCTTCTGAAAAAAAGGACACTAGTGTCTCAACTCTAGAGATACAGAGGGTAAACTTTTAAAGACAAAAATATTTCTTATAATTTTTAAAAATTACATAAACTACTATCCTAATTTTTATGTCTAAACACAATATAAGACACAATACATCACATTCTGTTTTTATTTTTAAACATAATATACAAACACAAACATTATTGTCTCAATATCTCTGTCTCTAGTGTTTAAAAACGATATCCAAACGCTACATTAAAGAACACCAAAACAAAGTTATGAAAATTTTAGTTAAACATATTAAAGGGTTTAGCACCCGATGATACCATCAGTTTAAATCTTAGGCCATCAAAGTGTTAACCAGAATATGGATAAAAATTTTAAAACAACAATAATAATAAAATTAAGTTAATGGATGGCAAAGGCCCCACCATGCATCATAGATCTTATCTGAAAAGCAGAATAGTGAGAATTGAAAAGCCCCACTCCTTGCATGTGTTGACATTTGAATTTCACTCTAGTTTCATTTGCACAATTGTGATAGCTATTCTTAACATTGTAAGGTATCATCTTTCTCTTGAAAAAAAATCTTATGTTTTCTACGATAAATAAATTGAGAAAAATGTTAAGGTGAAAATGTTATTAATTAGATAAACAAAATGATTTTCTTTTCAGAAAATATACAAAATTATATATATATATATATATATATATATACATATATAAATGTTTAACGCTCAAATCAAGAGGTAGGTTTGGGGCTATATAATCATAGTAGACATTATAAGCTTTAAAATTCTATTATATATGTCTAAGGGCCAATATTAAATGATACTAGATATAAAGTTTAATAAAATAACACTATTAACAACTATTAAATTCATAATCCAATAATAACTAAATCACATCCATGTGAAAGTTTGATAAATATCGAAAGTAAACTTCAAATGATAATTTTTTAACCACATAAGAATTTTAAACAACAATTTCAGTATATAACGAGATATAAACTTGTGCATTTCATGAATGCCATAAAATTAAACGTGTTGTACACATTTTAATTATATAATAAGTCATTTTGGTGAAAGTAACATTTATTTAAAGTTATTCCATCCAAGTATAAGAATGTGTGATGGCTTTTCTTTTAAAGGAGCTTTCTGATTGATAGTTTTGTTTGTCTTTCTTGATATAAATAATATTTTATGCATAAATTATGTTGAAAAAGAATAAAAAATATTTTAAGATTATTTTATTATTTTAAATAAAAATAATAGATATAATATAAAAGTGATGGGTGAAAGAAAAAAATATTTAAGTAAAATATGAGTAAGAAAAATAAATTAATTGAACCTTAATTTAAATATGAAAAATAATAAATAAAATAAATAATTATTTTATTAAAATATGTAGGCAATCATTTAATTATATTAATACATTGAATTTTATAATTTTAATAAAAATATATGATATATAAATTTTTATCATGCATAATTTTATAGTTAAAAGAACTATTATAATAGATATAGAGAATCATATTATTTCCGATAACAAAGTATTGGATCCATACGCTAATTAAACACATCACTACTTTCCAATGAACAATCGGAGGATTGGAAGACAGCAGGGGGAGTGATCCATGTAGGAACCAATCAATTATGTCATAGAAAAAGAAATAAAAGATACAAAGTTACTTCCAATAATGGAAATTAAGCAATGAAGAAAGGCAATTTTAAGATGCAAATTGTTGCTTAGAGTCAGTGACTCGAGTGGCATAGTATCTAGCAATGAACTCAGAGGCTTTTCTATCAATGCCAGGCTCAGCAACCCAATGCCCTCTATCTTCATCACTTGCAAATATCCTTCTCCCACTCCCACTACCTTCCCAATAGTCACTGTAATGGCTTCCACCTGAGAAACAAGCCTTGAATACACTGCCAAAGGAGCAAATAGATGATGATCTCTTGGCTCCCATTGTCTCTTCCCTCTCTTAATACGCTTCTTCACTTCTTCAACCTCTTTCTTATGATTGTGAGTGACCCTTCTAGTTCTCTCAATAGTACTTGTGTTCTAAGTTGTAAGTAACATAGACACAGGTGTTGGTATTTATAGAGTTTAATGTCACGTGGAGTATATGCCATAATACCTAATGTTTTACGATAGAAAAGGAGGGTAAGGATTCCCTGATATCATTGATAAGAATGGTTATGTCATTATTGTAAAACTCGAAAGTGGCATAAGCATTCTCGTCCCCTACTTTTGAATTGTCACGCAATACTTCTCCCCTAGCTAGCTAGCTAGACGATATATACACTGCCCAACTTTGCTTTCGTTATTATTATCACTTTGTTTCCGACTGAAGATGCTTTTTCCTTTATATATATATATTTTGCCTAAACCTCGATATTAATTTTTTATTATTATTAAATGGTTTAGGTCAGAATGAAAGAGAAAGAAGCAAAGAAGAGGATAGACATGTAACTAAAGTATATGATGTGAAACTTCTGTATCTTAAAAACTAAAAAAAGGAAAAGAATTTAACAATTATTGATAAAGTTAGAGAACAAAATGAGGTGGAGAAAAATAACAATAGTAAATTATAAATGTCTACGTTATTAATACTTTGGGGGGGGGGGGGGGGGGGTGTTGAAAGTGAAAAGAAGAGGATGAAGTTGACATGACAACTTTACAGCTGGTAACTTTATTTATTTACTAAGACTAAGCAGATATAGAGAGGAAGTGATTCAAAAATCATGAACCAAGTAATGAAGTTGGGTCTCTGGAGACTTGTATTTGACGGCGGGTGTTAAAGTAAAGTATAAATAAAGAGGTTCTACAAGTAAAAAAGTTTTATACGAGGTAGTAAAAGAAAAAAAATAAAAAATAAAAAAGAGACTATACCATGAGGACAAGTGTTTGAAGTTAAATATAAATAAAGAGATGTTACATTAACTGATAACAGAGAAATTGGGTAATATATTTGTGGGAGGGTATCCCACAACCTGTTACCTTAAAATTTTAGGTTAATGTGGTGTTCAAATCCACCTATATGGTTTGCTTAATGATTCAATATGACAGTGAAGATATATGTGTCTAAATGCTAAAGCAAGAAAAACAATTATGAAACCAAGCACCATACCAATGATAATTGGTTTAGATTGAGTTTGATTGGGATTATCAAATTCATCATCTCAATTTAATCCAATAAAAAGTACAAATTCACAAATAATTGTTGTGAAGTTTACCAACAAGAATAGAGACAAATTAAGATTAATTTTATTGACATATAAGCGTGGTACATTTTTTAAAGAAAGATGAGTTACAAGCTACAGCAGCGAAACTACTTTCAGTATGGTCTTAACAATCATTTAGTAGATTAAATGTTTGTTCCATCGGAATGCATCTAATTTTGGCCATTGGAAGGAACTATTCTAATTTCAACTAAAGTAAACTAATATACAAATCCAAGATGCTCTCTACTTGAAATGAGCACATTGCAAAATAATAAAAACATTAGACTTATCATCCCATGATATAATTGTTATCTATCTGTTTATCTAGAACAGATAACTTCAAATCAGATTCCATCAGTTTGTAGAAGGGCATGTTTTTACTGGTTCAAGACCAACTAAACAAGCTAAGTAAGAATCTGAAGTGCTTCATAAGAGAACAATATATCTCCAAAGTATCCAACAAGGTTCTCAAATGTTATGCTATATATATAGGGAAAAAGTGAAACATGTATCAGTGAGTTGACAGTCTTCTCAGCTCTAGCTTACTAGGTACATAGCATATATTTGCGACTGAAAAAATGTAAAACTAAGTTGTTATAATCGAGTAGTATTCCCGCGCTGAAAGTAACTTTGTTTTACTAAAACCAGAACTGAGAACCTTATGATTCCAAGGATAGACATTGATTGATAAGCAAGATGCTGGAATGGTGTTCTAATTTATGTATGCTCTGACATCTAGCCATTCTCATGTAAATTTAGTGGTGATTCCATTCAACTTTTGTTCGATGGTTTTCCCATAGAAAGCACAAGAGGACAAACTTCCTTTATGCAAGTTACTGTTATAAGTTTGCACTTACATTGTACCAACCTTGCACTTGTTAAGAAATTTTCTTTTCTTTTTTGTTACAGAATGTTTAGGTTAGTTGGATCTCTAGAGCTTATTAAAATCAGTGAAGACTTAAAAAGTGTTTTAAAAAATCTTTATAAATCTCATTATATATTTAATACAACTACATTAACTAATACTTAAACTTAAAGACTACAAATTATACCAAAATAATCTTCTTGAAGGTTAACAAGATTATTATACCGTGAATATAAATTGAACTCGCATCTTTAAAGAATATGAATTTAATTCTTACAGGACCAATCATCGGTAAATTTATTATAATATTGTAAATTAAAAAATAATTTATTATTTTATAGCAAATCTGAAATAATTTCTTAATCTGGAGTTTTTTTGTCACGTGGATCAATTTTTTGCCATACGGCTGGCGAAAGTAATTAATTTTTGAATTTTTTAATATCTATTTCGCCACAAAAAATACAAAATATGACTTCTTAGAACAGTTAGTTTAAAACCGCTCTCATAACTCTATTTTAGAGAGCGGTTCCTTATGAACCGCTCTCAGTAGTAATTTTAGAAAACAGTTCCTTATGAACCGCTCTAAAATTTCAATATTAGAGAGCAGTTCCATTTGAACCGCTCTCAAAAGTCATGTTAGTCATGTTAATTTTGATGGATCTTCTGGTCCGGGATTAATAACCCTACTTTATTGTGAAGATGATGCCATCTATACAACAATAAAAAATATTAGTAAAAAAATTTCATTCAATAATAATAATTTATATTTTACTAACATATTAATAATACATATTTTATAAAGGTCAAACAAATTTTCTAACAAATCATTATCACATTGTAATGACATCATATTATATTCATTACAATGTATTATAAATGCAAAAATCAGGTGTATACTAGCATAAAATTAAATTACATTTTAATTTTTTCATATTTCCAATTTAAATCTACATAAATTACATTTAATTTATAATTATATAAATACTATTACGTTTTTTAAAGTAAAAAATATTATTATTTACATACAAATTTTATTTAAATACAAAACTCTACTTATTGCATAAAATTAAATTACATTTTTATTTTTTTATATTTCTAATTTAAATCTACATAAATTTTATATAAATACAAAACTCTAATTACTAGCATAAAATTTAATTATATTTTTATTTTTTCATTTTTCTAATTTAAATTTACATATATTACATTTAGTTTATAATCATATAAATAATATTACATTTTTAAAAGTAAAAAATTTTATTATTTACATACAAATTTTATACATACATTTTATATAAATTATGATTACTGCATTTAAAATTTTACAATTTTAAAATTTTACTTCATTATAGGTGTAAAAATTATTTATTACAATCAAACTAAGTATAAATTATTATATTTAGTTTTATATATTTATTTTATTTAACTCAATTTTTAGTTTTATATAATTTTATTTAACTCAAGTAAACTATATTTAGTTTTATATAATTACAATGCCTGAACGGTTTCGATAACTGTAAGGCGAAATAAACTTTCACCAGTAGCAGCGCGAATCATCTCAGATGTTGCCACGTGTATCAAAATCTCCCCAGCCGTCCATTTTAAATCTAAGAGAGCAATTCCGACAGGACCGCTCTCTAATATGTACTTCTGAGAGCGGTTCATGTGGAACCGCTCACTAACATGACTTTTAAGAGCGGTTCCTTATGAACCACTCTCTAATATTGAAATTTCAGAACGGTTCATAAAGAATCGCTCTCTAAAATAGAGTTATGAGAGCGGTTCATAACTAACCGCTCTAAGAAGTCATATTTTGTATAAAAAATTCAAAAATTAATTACTTTCGCCAGCCATTATAGTAAAAAATTAATTCACGTGACAAAAAAACTCCAAATTAAAAATTTGTTTCAGATTTACTATAAAATAATAAATTATTTTTAATTTACAATATTATAATAAATTTACCCCAATTATCATAAGTAATTAATAAAATTTCTAATTGTCAATGTCAATATCAATATCAATATCAATATCCAAAAGCTGCCTTTCTTTTTTCCTAGGTCAAGACTTCAAAGTAAGGCTCATAATAGGCCTTACAAATTCACATTTCATGTCCTTTCACTTTACCAACTAAGTTGACTCGAGGGTACGAAGCCAATTTTTAAATCTTCCATTTCTTACACTTGCTGAAAGAGTAAAACTGAAAAAGATGCAAGTTTATCTGTGGGAATTTGTAGACATCTGCATTCTATGTGTAGTTAGCATATTCCGGTCAGATGCGGCATATCTATTTTGATTTGTTGCATGTATGTGCCCATAATATTTATGCCCCCAAAATTAATTGATGTTACTTTCCACGTTAACAGAACTGCATATCTTCAGTTTCTTGTCTTTCTTAATTGAATACAACATAAGCAGCATCAAGCAGTTTGGACCACACTTTTCAAAGTTCAACTTTCATAAATGTAAACTCGTCAGGACCACCATATCTTCTTCTACACTGCTTATTGCACCAAATGTTCAATTATCTACATTCAGTGAAAGCTCCACAAAATGCAGTGTGCACGAGAAGAAAGAAAAAAGAAAAAGAAAACAAGAAATTCCCAAAACAGTTCTTATTTTTCTTTCTCTTTTTCTTCTTTTTTTTTCTTTGTCATGCTCACTAACTCTACTCCCAAAAATAAGTTAGACACTAATTTTCCTCACCAAATTAGTTTCTTGTAAAAAATGAAATGTTAGAATTCAAGCCACTGTCAATGATTGGAAAATTTTATGATGTCAAATATATTTAAACAGATAACATTGAGCTATACATTCTGTAACGTTTTTATTCTTATTCTGTGATCACCCCTCAACAAAATTGTGTCTAAGATGATG